CAATAGATCATCGAGTCCGACCCCCTGCATAGGCAGGAAAGAGCGCTGGGGCTAGATGACCCCAGCTAGATACTCATCTAACATCCTCTTGAAGACCCCAAGGGTAGGGGAGAGCACCACCTCCCTTGGGAGCCCATTCCAGACCTTGGCCACCCTAACTGTGAAGAAGTTCTTCCTAATGTCCAGTCTAAATCTGCTCTCTGCTAGCTTGTGGCCATTATTTCTTGTAACCCCCGGGGGCGCCTTGGTGAATAAAACCTCACCAATTCCCTTCTGTGCCCCCGTGATGAACTTATAGGCAGCCACAAGGTCGCCTCTCAACCTTCTCTTGCGAAGGCTGAAAAGGTCCAGTTTGTATAGTCTCTCCTCGTAGGGCTTGGTCTGCAGGCCCTTAACCATACGAGTGGCCCTTCTCTGGACCCTCTCCAGGTTATCCGCATCCCTCTTGAAGTGCGGCGCCCAGAATTGCACGCAGTACTCATCCTACCAGTTTGTATGTGTTAAGCCAACTATGTAGAAGTGAGTGCTGCATTTTGAAAACCTAGAAATCTGCAGGGATTTCTTAGCAGACTGTTCTCTCTCAGCCTCTTGAAAGCTGCCAGTGGCTTTCTGAAAGTATTTGATCCTTTTGCTTTGGCTGCAAACTGCATGCTTCTCTAACGTGAGTGAAGAGCAGGTGCATAGGGTTTCCGACATCAATTTTTCAGCACTTATAGATTGCAGAATCTGCTGCTTTAACCTAAATGACTGTTGGTGAACAGAAAGTGACTTTCAGTGGCCTGGGTCTGTTATCGGTGGTCTGATTCAGGGGTATCTTAATCTTTCTCCTGCATGACCAAGCCAAGCAACATAGACAGGCTCAACAAACCTCACTTTCCTCTTGCATAGACAAATGCAATCATTCTCTGATAAAACTGACGCTGAAATCTGCTACTTTCTTCTTGGATGTCCAAGTCTCTTAGACTGCGTGCCCTAGGACAAGGCAACATTAATGCCATCTAACCTTTTGTACAGCCAGGCTCTGAATGTGAATCTCACTGACGGGGGAGGGCGAGGATGGTGTTGGGGAGTAATGCGTCACAGAGGCGTCTGCCCCCAGTGTTGACTCCAAAAACACTTCCAAATAGAATCGATTGCTTGTCTGGTCACTTCTTTCTGACCATCTTGGCCTTGTCAAATGGAACATTAATTAGCAACTGCTCAGCAAGTGGTGGGTTTCCTTCATCAGAATAACCCTTAGCCCTTTCCAGTAAAAAGCAACCGAGCAAACATGATCCTTGTGGCATTTCTGGGAGTAACATCATCACTGGAGGGAGAACTGAGGCACGTATAAAAGGAAGTGATTTTCCCCTGGGTCATGGAGCAACTGGGGGCTGAAGCCAGAATTAGGAGTTGGGGCATCCTGGCTTGCACTTGCATCCTGATCTGCTAAGCATAATACTCCCAACCACTGCACAGCAGTTACTTTGTTTTTTTTTATTTTTATTTTTTAATGAAGCTAGTGTGGTTTCTTCCGACTAAAACCAGCTTGTACGAGGAGAAACCTGTTCAACTGGTGCTTGCACAGTTCAAAGTGGTGGAGCAGATGAATTAAACACTTTGCACCTATTGTACTTTTCAGGGAGACTTAATGGTACTGACTGCAGGGGAGGACTTGCTGGGCCAGGGTTTCTTTAATAGCTGATCGTATCAGCTTAAAAAAAGTCTGTTCCATCAATGTATTGGCAGCCCGCTACAGCATCTCATCATCCAGCCCTGAGTGCTGCAATCGTAAAAGTTCCTTAGCAAGGCATCTGCAGCAGGAGAAGAGGGCTGAATGTCTTTACCATCTAAATCTGAGTTATTTGGGGTTATTTAAAGACATTGTACAGTGCTGTCTCCAGGAATGGCCATATGTTTTGCAACAGGGTATTTGTCTCGGTAATGAAGGACATGACTGGGCATCTTCCTTTCAAGAGGCAGGAAGGGGATTAAGGCTTAACATTTGTGGTGCTTTTCCATCAGTCTTTCACAACACTTAACCAGCATCTTGAGCCTTGTTGTACGTGTGACCTGGGTAAATGCAAATACTGAAACACAAAGATTGAGCACCAAGTTTGAGGTTACATGGCCATTTGAGAGCCAGGAATAGAATCCAGGAGTCCTGGCTTCATTCCTGTCCTGGAACCACAGAACACGCTGCCTCATAACTCAGCCGTCCACAGCTTTACGTTGAAACAGGACATTGGGAATTGGTTGAAATTCCCTTATGCTCATGAGCCTGAAGTGAGGGTACATCATTGAATGTTGGCCATTGTGGGTTATCTCCCCCGCCCCCCCCACTTCCCACCCTGCTGGGTCTGTCCCTTCTGGCTAAAATGAAGAGTCTTATCATCCTATTTTTATTTCTGCCTTTGTAGAAAAAAAGCCACTTGGAAATTCAGGGAGGGGCAAAAACCCCAGAGATCCTTAATAATAGCTATTTTTATAACTATGCTGTCAAAAGTGATGTATTCAAACCTGCTCAGTCCACTGGTTTAGCTGGTACATTAGTGCTGCCTCCAGCTGCTAGTGGAGAGCTTGATTCCTTGTATCACTGCAAATTTTCTGTGACTATAGATGAAAACAAATTTATTACCAACCAGTTTCAAAAAGTTTGCAACTGAAACGGGATCTTAGTAGAGTGGGGTGGCCCTGCCAGCTGGAAAAGCAACTCCAGACCCTTTCACAAACTGAGTGCTCTGTCGAATAGTATTTTGCCATTTACGATGCCTTCCAGAAGCTTAAAGGCCAAATGAATGTAGCCTTATGATCCCATGAGTAGGGCTAGTAGCAACTTCACTGAGGTACAGGGCAGGGAGATGGGGGGGACTGAGGTTGTGACTACCCTAAGGTCCAGATGTGGCTGGATATAGAGTCCAAGAGTCCTGACTTTTTGCTCTGCATCCATTCCCATATCCTGAATACTATAGGAGCGCCAGAGATCAACTGTCAGATGCTGTAAAACATTGTGAATTGTCTCTGTCTCTGTTTCCTTCTCCCTCCTTCCCAGATGCAAGCTGGAATGCAGCCACGTGCCAACCGGGGAAGATTCTGTTTGGTGGCCGCTTGAGATCATGGGGAGATCACCACTTGTGGGTCCTGGAAGGATTTCACACCATACAGACGTGTCAGACGGCTTGTTGCCAGAGCCCCACCTGTGACGCATTTTGGCTTTTGGAAAACATGTGCATCCAGGTGAACTGTACAATGTCCAGCAGGTGTCAGGCTAATAGGACCGACTCCTCCAACTCCATTCTGGTGTTCTTAAGGAAATCTAAAACTGCAGAGGGGTTATTAGGGTCTCGAACGGAAAGTGAGGTAGAGACTACATTTCACAAGTGGCTGGATTGGAGCACATCGGGCCAAGCCAAGCGGAGACTGCGGAGATCCTCCCAAGGGTTGCTAGTGCAGAAACAAGACCTGGAAAATGGAAGGACAAGCCTGCTAAAAAGGGAAACATCTGGCAGTCCCGGTGGCGGGATTGCTGCTAAGCAGGCCACCAGATCCATGGATAGTGTGTCTAGAAGCAGCTGGAGTTCAGGTAGGCAGAACCTGAACCGACCAGAACCTAGACCCTCAGTCCAAAAGGGACCTGTTCCCAGAGACACAGTGAGTAGAGAGAGAAGCTTGCTGCAAAAAGGAGAGGATTCAAGAGAGAAGAAAACCAAAAGCCCACCCCCTCCTGAGAGTGATAACGTGAATGGAGCAGGTGATCCAGGCAGCAGTGGTTCTCTGTGGGTAAGTGCATCTGCTGCAAAAGAAATGGGGAGTGAAATGAATTCCTCTGCTGGTATCAGTTTTGGCTTACTGTCCCTATTGAGTATCCTTCCTACTGCAAGCTCTCTAGGCCTCATTTTAAAACTGGTGAATACCAGCTTTCAGGCCACACTTTGATCCTTCACTAACACAGGGATAAGTTTGTGGGGTTGTCTCACTCCTACTTTTGTGGTGTTGGCCCATTAGCTAGAAGAAGAAAAAAGATGGAGGTCAGGCTGCTTTATGCCCCATCTGCCCTACCATAACTTGAGACAAGATAGAGAGGTGTCTTTGGGTGCAAAGTATTCACCGGAGAACTTCAGAGTTGGAGCCATGGTACATCTGCTGGATTCAGAAAAGCAAATGCATCATTTTCTCTTTGTTGTACTGTAATTTGGGGGTAGTTCAGTCCACTACTTTACAGGGCTCTCCAGACCATGGGGCTCATCCTTTTAGAGCAGCAGGCCAGGTACTTGTCCAAAGGGTCTGATGGTGAGCCTCCTAGAGAGCCCCCAGTTGGGGTGGGGAGGAAGGAGACTTGGACTTCAAGAAGTTACATTGCTTTTGAGGGTTCCCAGGGCTCAGCACTGTTATGGTCTGCTGCTTTCTCCTCCAGTTACATTCAGGCTCTAGAGAGAGAATGGCATTTATTGCACTCTAGCTATGCAAATCTCCCAGTTCCAGGTATTACTGTGACTGGTATGAGCCAACAGCCTGAGGAACAGGATGTGGACTGGAGCCAACGGACACCAGGGAGAATTCCACAGCTGCCCTAGGCATGCACGAAGCAAACGTGGTGTGACTTTGCTTTTGCAAATGTTTGATCTGCAGAGCTCTCTACCACCTAGGAATGACTCTGGAGCCGTGGTGTAACTAGGGGTGGGTGCAAGAGTCCTGAGTGCTGATTTATTTTATTTTATTTTATTTTTTGAGGGGAAACAAGAATGGTGCCTGGTGCCACTGTTGACTTGGCTTGCCCACCGATGCTCACCCAGCCCCTGTTGCTGCCCCGGGCACATAAACTCCTTGTTATGCTTCTGCTTATGAGCTCCTCTTTGATTTCTGTGGTTCCTTGCAGTACTTCTTTCTTCCTTGTAGCACTTTATAGTAGATTGACACTTAAATAGCACTCTTGCCTTTCCCTTCCTTTGCATGGGGCTTTTGAAGAGGTCTTGCTACAGCTGACCATTTTTTTTTTTTCTTTCTCACAGCTCATTGTAGTTATTTATCTGCCTGGGCCTTTTGTAGTATTGCAGCTTGAGTTCTCTTGGATTTTGTTTTTCTTTTGCACCCTGATACCTGCTCAGTACAGTTTAAACCAAGCTTAAACCTGCTTAACTGGCATGAATTCACTGCCTGCTGAAAAAGCCAGTGGGTTTCCAGGATTTCTCAGCAGTGAGGATTGCTTTTATTTGTTAGCGAATTTTTGGGACAAGGTTCTGAGACAAATCTGCCTGTCATGGTGTCCTTACTAAGCAGAAAGCAAATCCCACATTTCATCAGGAAAAAACCTTTTTTTTTTCAGAAAACCTCAGGCCATGAAAATGAGGAGTTCACAGGCGTGCATCTGCTCTGGTGACATTCTTGTCAGTAAGGTTTCTCCAATGCGGGATTGAGCGTAACAAGTGGGTTGGAAAGAGCCTGTAGTCAGTGCAGTTTGACAATCAGGCTTCCTTCCCAGACGTGTTCCTATGAAATGAATAATGCCTTGAGCCCTGCCTTCAGGATGCGTGTATGCCCTGCTGTTGGCATCCTGCAGGACCTAGTGAGAGCCATTGGCTAACCCTCAAGCTACTGACTCGATGCAATATATCTGGCGTGACATCTGAATCTCGCTGTGCTGCATGTTAGCTAGTTGAGTCCATTATATTACCGCTGCTTATGCTAATCGCTGTATTTTTTTAATCAGCAGTAGCAGTCACCATTGTACTGCTGTGCTGCCATTGCAGATCTCTTCCTCAGACATTTGGAATGCATTAGTCGAACCCAGATCGTGCATATCCTGCTAGTTTACAACCTGCTTAGTTCGCATCATTTTGCTGAATGAAGAACGAGCAGCCCAGCTATTTGCTGTGGCTTTTACTTCAAAGGGCGCTGCTGCTCCACTCAACTGCAGTACATCAGCAGTCCCACACAGCTGATCAAAGGCACAGTGCCCTTTTGAAATAAAAACTGCAGCAAACTGCTGGAGCTTCTTGCTGGTCTTGTATGGCTGTGCTGCAGCCCTGTATGCCCCCAGATACCTTACAGGCTCATCTTTGCAGGGTTCCTAACTCTCCTGCCAAGTATGCGGCTTCTACGGTATAGGCATTCATTACATTTGGCAGTAGGAATTAGGAAGTAGGAACCAATGACTGTTATGTATACTCAACTAAGGCACAGAGGGCTTAACTGCCTTGCTTTGGGTTGTTGCAGCAAGTCGGTGGCAGAGCCAGGAATCTAGGATCTAGGAATTCAAACTCCCCGGCCCCTTCTTCCACCTATAAAACCTACTGTTTCAAGGAGATGAGGACTGTGTGAGTCTCTTTCTGGAAAACTAAGTAAAATCCATGCAGTTGTCTTTCCCAAGTACTGCACAATGTCTTCCTCCATCGTAGGTACCTGTCCTGTCCCCTTTTTAGCAGAGTATCTGACTGTCTTGGTTTTTAATGGAGCTGCTCTCACAACACAATCCCTCTGTGTTGTAGTACAGTGCCGTTATTGCTGTCTTAGATGGGGAACAAACACAGAGAGACCAAGTGACTTGCCCAAGGTCACACAAGTTTTTTTGTGGTGGCTCAGAAGGGGGTTTATTTTTAAATGATCAGCCAGCACAAACCTTTGATTTAAATAATTTGAGTTTAATCTTGTTTTGTGCTCGTGCTAAGCTTTATTTTCCTAAAGAAAAGCTGATTTATCATGGCTTTGCAAGCAAAGTTGGTGTTCACCTGATATGATACTTGAACTTGCTAATTGGGAGGACATATCTTTGCACTCATTTAAACAGCTAGAGCTTAACATCTGTTTATTCCAAGTCTTGATTATTGCACAATAAAAACGTTGGGAAATGGTGAATGACTCATTCATTTACTAGATTGGAGATTTTTTTTTTTAAACATTTGCATTAAGCTGTATTTGGATTGAAATTTTGACTCCAATTAAAATGCGCAAGGGCTTGTATTGAACAAACTACTTTAAATGTGTTGAATACATAAGGGAAAATGAGCAAATATGTCTTGCATTTAAACCAAACAGATTTATTAAACACGGGGAGTGTTATCGGTAGTTAGTGAATTGAACCGATTTTGTTTCTGGCCCCCGTGTCCTTTGAGAATTGAGAACTAGAAGATCTCTGCCTCCCTTGCTTCCTTTCTTTTCACTGAGTGGGGGAGGAAAACAGGTTGTCCCATTTCTTTCAGTTCCCACTTGGTTTCTCAACTTTGAATGAACTAGTCATTAACTAGAACTAGTTGAATAAACTGCAGTGAAGAAACTATTCCCTTTCTACCTCCACTGCTGTTTTAAAAGCAGGTTTTGCACTTCCACAAATGGGTTCCAGGGGCTCAAGTAGCTACTTCCACTTGTTCAGTGGCTTGGGGCTCTTTACAGTTGTGGCAAGCAATATGTGCTGCTTAAAATTAGTCAAGTCAACTGATTTTAGTCTGTTACAATAATATAAACCTCTAATACAGGCTCACATGATTAAGTATTCCTGTTTTAAATTGAAGAAGGCTCTTTGAAATCTAACTTACTAAGAAAAAACCCTCCAGCTTTTAATTGCAGCCTTGAGGCAGCAGGAGTCTGACCCTTGTTCTCCCAAGTTGCAGACTAACATCCAAAGTATTGGATTCCTTTTCTTTTTGACTTTCATTTGGCAGGAAATCTGTACAACTGCTTTTCTTGTATTCGTGACCTGTGAACAATTAATTATCCAAGGATCTAATTCCCAATTATGAAATGTTTAAAGGTGCTGTATTCACAACTTCAGCAACCTTCTCCGGAGGGGAGAACAAAAGCAGAGATCTTTCCCAACTGGGATGGGTGATGGGACAAATTAATTACTGCTACACACACATTGAAACCAATAACATTTTACCTGGGTTAAATTACTTGTTGTGTACCTGGCCTGTTGCACTTAATATTTTTTTTAAGAGAATTTGGATGGTATGTAGATGGGCTGTGCCAAAATGCTTGATCATTACTACATGCAGAAAGATGAACAGCTGAGAGCATCAGACATCTCTATTGGGAAAGGGCAAGCGAGATCCAACTGGCACTTGATTACAAAGGGAAATTGTTTGTTCCTCCTTGCCCACTAGCACCAGGTGGGTGGGTGGCAGATCCAAACACTGGAAGAAGAGCAAGCGACTTTTTGAAAAATATGTTTTCCTTCCGCTCACCCAACTTTGTTTTAACTCCTGTGTATGCTTTGATGTTGTCAGACCTGCCAAGTCATCTGCTAGCGTAGAGCTAGCGTTCATAGTGTGTGGGAGTAACTTGGATATGCTGCAGCATCGAAGGTGGAGAAAGTCAGGCTGCATTCCCTCTTCCCCACTACACTCTGACCTTTGTCAAAGGAAGAGAGAGCAATGCATCTCTACTGAAGTGAGTGAAGTATTTCCAGACACCAGGTCCTGGGTGCTGCCTTGCTGCAGAAATACTCACCAGTTTTAAAATGCAGCATTGAATTAAAGAGCCAATCAAGGGAAGCAGTGGCATATGATGCTGCTCGTTAAAGTGGCTGCTGCAGCACTAGGGCAGGTTTAGGCCCTGGAAAGTGCAGCCATTAGCACAGAAGTGTTGCACCATCCCTTGGGACTTGGTTCTTCAATGGGGAACCAAACAACATGGGTCACCTAACACTGGCTTTTTAGAGCCTCTGCCTGGGGTTTGCATCCACTTTATTCTTCCACTTTCCCTATTCCTAGGAAGGGGCAAAAGGTTTTCCTTCATGGCCCGTAGTAAAACCTTAATTTGTGATGTCTTTTTAAAGCACTCAGAATAGTGAAACTGTGCTGGGTGCTTCACGGGCATAAGTAAAACCTGGGCCCATCTCCAGGGACTGTACAATGTACATCTAGAGTAGCTCACCGGGGGCATCCTACTGTATGATGTTGGTGGTCATTTAAAAAAAAAAAAAAAAGAAGAAGATACTTTGAGAAATGCCATGTATTTTTAAAGTGATTTCTGCACAGTCCACACCCTGCAATAGGTGGTGATGCTCCTTTTACAGATCCAGGCACCTTGGGTTGGGAGGGAGGTCACTTGCCGAGCAGCACAGAGGGGATTAGGGTAGGATTCAGATGGTCCGGGCTGTAGACTGTAACCCTCTCAAACTGTTTAGAGCCACTGGGGAAAGCTAAGCTAGGACAGCCAGCCAGTTTCTAGTCCTCTTCTCGGTTATTCTCAAAAACGAACTCCTCACCTTGATTGTCTGTAGACTAAAGGTCCTGAGTTATAGAGGAAAGAACTCCCTGCTTGCCAGCATTAGAAATATTTCTGACCATTATTATCCAGCCTGCTTATTTAATGCAAGCTTTGTGTGGACTTTGGCCTAGGGTTCACCCTGTGGGGGCTCAGGGTTGTGGTTCTCTCCTCAAAGATAAGGCTTAGGAAGGGAGCAAAAAAAAAAAGGATCAGGCTTGCTCAGAGTATTGGTGTGTGAGCCAGGATCTGACTTGTCAGGCCCGGTGTCTGCACATCTCGGACATCTCTGACAGCTGTTATGATCCCCTGGAGCTGACTGTGACTATCGGGGAGCGGCTCCTATCAGCCGCTTGGAGCCCTGACAACCTTCTGCTTCTCTTGCCTCGCTCGACAAGCTGTCCGCTTCGTCCAAGTTCCCGAAACTCCGTGCTGCATCCGGAGTCCTTCCTTCCCCCTCCTCCCTCTCATCTCATCTCCAAATCCCCCTAATCTCTTTATCCTGTTAGCTCACTCGGCGAAAGGGACTCGAAACAGGCAGAGAGGAGAACTGTCATGTGGCATCACATTGCCGTGTCGAGACTCTTAATGTGGAACCGTGTCCCATAGTGTCTCTTTCTGCAGCAAAGACTCAGTAGCTTTACCAAAGCCTCGGCGAGCCCATAGACAAGTCAGTAAATGGAGAGAACCAGTCAGTGCCCATAACACTAAGAGAGGTTTACACCGGTGCCTTCCAGCTTTTTGATCAGGAAGTGCAGCAAGCATATTGAGGCCGAGGCAGGTGAAGTCATTTGCTCAGGTTTGCAAGAAGACTGTGTTTTGAGGAATGGCTTTGACCGAACAAAAACTATTCTTCCTCTCCTGCATTCAGCCTTGCTGGTCTGTTCAGTGTGTGCGAGGTGAGCTGGATTTTTTTTTTTTTTAAACGGTGTTTAAAATGTTCACTTCAGTGAAACTCACCTATTGTCAGAGGTCAGTTCCCCTGCTTCGGTGCACTGCTACGGTCGCCTCTGCCCAGACTGACCCCTGATAATGGGGTAGAAAACCATGAGTGTCCTTCCTGGGACTTGACCTTCTTGACCCAGTTGTACTGATGGGAGACGGGGCTGTGGGAAGCCGCTTACAAAACAAATTCCAAATCTAGGATGGCAAAAAGCTGCATTTTAAATGTTTAGCAGATGTCCTGTAACAAAATATGCTGTGCACACGTACTGCCCCCCCTGCACCCGGTTCAGATTGAGTTGTCTGGTGTTGCCCTGCGGCCTGCTCTGTGGAATGGGGCTGGGCTCTGGACAAGGAATTTTCATCAGAAAGAAAGGAAATTGTGCTTGTTCGCTTTGGCGGCCTGCAATAACGTCCGTCAGCCCTGCCAGGAGCACGGCTTCAGCAGTGGGCACATGTGGCCAGAAGAAATCACTGTGGGGGACCCTGTGGCTTGGTCCCTGTTTTCTGCTTCCTCCAGGCATCAGCCTGGTTGCCCTTCATCATGCTTTCTTGCCCAGTGTACCCTGGAATCTCCTGTGCTACCTCTAGCATCAGCTTACACGACACATCAGGTGGACTTAAACTGTGGACTGAATCCTGCTCGGTGCTGTAATGTCTTTGCAATGTAGCTATGTCAGCTAAGGATGTGAAAAGTTCTCACCCTCTAACTGATGTAGCTCTGTGAGCCCTTTCCCCCAGTCTGGATAGAGCTCTACTGAGAGAAGTCTGATTTTTGTCATTTGAGGAGGTGGCATAATTAGGGCTGGATTAACCCATTAGTGGGCCCTAGGCAAACAAACACGTGGGCCCCTACTTTTTTTTTCACTCAATTATAATATGTAAAATAAGCACAACTTTGGGTCCCTTCTTCACTTAGGGTCCTAGGCACGTGCCTAGTTTGCCTATGCGTTAATTGATCCCTGGGTATAGTGAAAAGGGGCAGAAAACCTGCTTCTGCCCTATGTGCTGAATCTCTACTAGGGGCCCTGCTGCTGTATGATGTAGGCAGCAGCCCTATAATGTAGAGACAGATTTTGGCTTTAGAATCAAGGCATCCCTTGGAAAATGTCAGCTCCTGGCTTTCAGTTCGTGCATGTGTGGGGTTTGGGGTTGGGTTTTTTTTTTTGACAACAGAAAAATAATAGAGTAAGTCCTCTGTTGCAGAGATCTTATGGCAGGTCAGAATGTTTTGACGCTATGAATTCCTGATTGCAATCTCTGGGTTTATCTTGTGAATCCCATATGGGTGTTTTCAGTGTTAACATTGCATAGCACCCTGTAGCACCCTTAAAAGGATGTCGTGGCACCCTGGTTGAGAATCGCAGGTGTAGACGATCTGTCATCTGCATGGAGTTGTGCTGGAAACCGCATCACTGCTTTGGAGCAGGAACATGGCGAGAGAGGATAGAAAGGAAGGAAAAGAAGGTGCAAAACTTCCCGTCACTGCGAGAATAAGCCTGGTTATTTAAGCATCCTGAATTTAGAGATGGAAGTTGAATACTTGATGGCATTTGTTGCTTGGTGTATTTACAATCTTGACCACATCAGTTTGTTTTAAACACGATCCACTTCTTGACTTGACTGTCAGAGTGAGACTCTTCTTTCTTTCCAGGTCCATGCAGGAACGTCCACACTAGTGCCATCTGTATTGGCTACGTTCTCCAGCCCCATTGCGCTGGGCTTGATGGCCACTGGAAAGGCAGAGAAACCCGAACAGCCAAGTGGCACTTCTGTCCACCCTCACTCTTTAGAGAAGACGCTACCTACGTCTAGCCCTCCTCAAGGGAAAACTGCTGTGAAGATGCAGGGTGTTACCTCTGTGCCAACTGTTGTCCCCACTAATTATAGTGTTACCACAGTCCAACCCAGCCCTGCAACATCACCAAGTACTGCTGCTCCAAAACCAGGTGAGAATGTGATGGGGAGTATGTTCTGTTCTTCTCGATGCCCAGTAACTTTGACAAGACATTGAAAGTCTGTAA